CCCCTTTAGCACCATTGGTTCTTACTCACATGCTACCTCTTGAAATGGTTGAATGTCAGTCAACTAGTTCTTTTTGATACAGCGACTCTGGATTCTTTCCATCTTTTCTTTTGATGCTTCATCACTCAATATTTTTCCCGTGGAATCTTTCAATATCACAATGAGTGACTTGAAGTTTTCTTGGGTTCTTTCAGTTTCAGATTTGCTGAGCCCCGTTCTTTCTTTGTGGCTTCGTAACTCTCGGTGTTCTCACCTAGCAGAAATAGTTCATTGTCGTATTTTACTGTGTCTTCTGGAGCTGCTCTGAAACTTTCTCTTCTGCTCTTGACTTCATCGTTTCTTCCATTTGCCTTAGCTCCTCTATGATTGAGTGTAAGTTTTAGTGTCTCTTTGGGCATCCACTTTGATTTCTTTTTTTTAATGACCTTTTGCTTTCTTCATGTGTGGTGTCCCGGAGGTCATCCTGCAGCTCACCGGGTCTTCTGCCCTCAGTGTCTAGTGCATTACGTCTGTACTTGAGATGGTCTTGAAGCTGGAGTGGGATATCCTCAAGGTCATATTTTGGCTCTCCTGGACTTGTTTGTCTTCATCTTCAGCCTGAACTTATACATGAGCAATGGATGGTCTGTTCCTCAGTTGGATTCTGGCCGGGTTTTAGTTGCTGATACTGAGCTTCCCCATCGTCTCTTCCCAGAGCTGTTTTCAGTTTGATTTCTATGTATTGCATCTGAAGAGGTCCATGTATATAGTAACTTTTTGTGTTGCTGAAAAAAGGTATTTGTGATGATGCTGTTGGTCTTGCAAAATTCTATCATTTGATCTCCAGCTTCATTTCTATCACCCGGGCATATTTTCCAACTACTGCTCCTTCCTCTTTGTTTCAAACCATTGTATTCCAATCACTAATAACTATCAATGTAGCTTGATTGCATATTTGATCAATTTCAGATGGAAGACATTGGTAGGATTCTTCAACTTTTTTTCATCACTAGCTTTAGTGGTTGGTGCATAAATTGGAATGATGGCTGTGTTGGTTGGATTTCCTTGTGTGCGGATTGACATCATCTTACCACAGACAGCATGTACTTCCAGATAGCTCTCCAGATGTCCTTGTTGACGATGAATGCAGTGCCACTCTCTTGATTGTGTCATTCTGGGCATAGTAAACCATGTGATTTTCTGATCCACAGTGGCCAATCCCAGCCCATTCCAGCTCACTACTGCCTGGAATAGAGGAGCCCAGAGTGGTAGAGTGGTGACAAGTTGGTCTGTGACCCACAAAATCGACAGTTCAAAACCACCAGTCACTCCTTGGGAGAAAGATGGAGCTTTCTAGACTTATTAACGGTGACAATCTCATAAGCTCACAGGGTCAGTTATCCCCTGTCCTATGGGGTCTCTGTGAGTCAGTATTGACTTGGTGCCAGTGAGGAATGCCTAGAATATCGATCTTTGTGCATTCCATTTCATTTTTAATGACTTTCGATTTTCCTCAATTCACACTTCGTACGTTCCAATTTCCAATGATTAATTGATGTTCGCAGTGGTTTTTTTAACCTTTCTTTCTCATGTTGTTGAGGCATGCCCCATCAGCAAATGAAGGCTCGGAAGGCTTACTTCCACAGGCTCTCTTCCATTCACGTCGTTACGGTCGACTCTTCTTGGAGCAGGCGGCTCCTCCTCAGTCATATTTTGAGAGCCTCCCAACCAGAGGGGCTCATCTCTGGCACTATCTCTGACGGTGGTCTGGTTCTCGTCATGCGGTTTCCGGTAACTGACAATGTTGCGATGCTATGCCTAGGGTTTCCAGTGGCACATCCCTCTGAAGCAGACAGCAATCCCTTCTTTGTCATCTGTTCTTAATCTGGAGACTGTTGAATCTTGTTCACTTTGGGTGACCCTGCTGGCATTTGAAATACCAGTGACAGAGCTTTCAGCATCACAGCCACACAAAAGACACTGACAGATCAGTGGTGGTTTTAAATACACTGAGTCTAAAAATTAATAATTCCTAAATGGAATTTAAGGAGTTCCTGGGTGGTACAAACAGCCGAGCGCTTGACTGAAGACTGAAAGGGTGTGGATTCCACCCTACTCAGAGGCACCTGGGAGACAGAATCAACAGCCAACAAGAAGCAGAATGTATCGCAGGCTTGAGTAAATACCGTGGCTGGCGCATAGGACCTACAGTGGGGTTGGTTATTTTGGATTTTGTTTGTTTGCTTGCTTTCCCTGGTTCCCAGTCATGCCTCTGCTCCCATCTTCCTTTTCACCCAGTCCTGAGTGGTTACCCAGAATGCAGCCTGGTCTCCTTGAACCTAGGTCTCGCTGGGACACTTCCAGCATCCCATTCCCTGGGGTCATTTTGTAGCCCAATCTGCTCCAGCTGGAGTGCAGAGCCGAAGGACTGAAAGCAGATTAGCTTTCCCTTTGGGGTGGGCAGAGCGAGGAGCAGGCCTGGGCTGCAACCAGGGGACATTCTGTCCATCCGTCCGATAATCCGATAGGGAGTCAACAAGGGGAATGAGAATGGAGTGCATGCCTCTGTGACCCAGCACTGCCACGGCAGAGTGCCCCAAAAAGACAAACTGAAAGCCACAACTTTCAGGGGAAGAGTCGGGGGACCCTGGCAGAGGGTTAGGCACCAGCACGAGCCCCATGGGTACACTGCTTTCCCAACTCCCAAAGGCTTCTTGATCTTTCTGATGGCCCAGCTAGGCCAACTTGAGCCTGAGTTGCTCCCAGATGGGGCTGGCTACTAGGCAAGCCGCCAGCTCTCAGAAAGATTTAGAATGAGTCATCGTCCCTAGACGAAGAAGATCATGAGAGTGGGGCAGAGGGCTCCCGAGCTCCAAGGACCTTTGCAGCAATAGAATGTGCCCTGGCTAGCCTCCTCCTAGGTCGGGTCTCCCTGGACCACTCTCTCTCTTCCTGCTTTGTTTGTAATGATGGTCAATTGACTGTCCACCTCAAGTTTGCCGCCTCACACCAACCAGCGGCACTGAGGGGAATGCAGGCTGGCAGGATAATGACCAGCAGGGAAACCCCTCACAGCGGGAGCCATCCTCCACTGGCGCACAAGGGGTGGGCAAGAGGTGGAATCCACTGGACAGCAGCCAGCAAGCACACCATAATATCTGAGTAACAACACACCTGCCCTTTCAATAATCTTTACAGCATGCTCCGTGAACTGTCCAGCCATCTCCCTTATTCCCCATTTCTCTATCACCCCTAACAGAAGCTTGGTGTCCCCTCAAGCCTTGAACCACCCCCCCCCTCCTTGATTCTGCCCGGCCTTGGGAACTACTAATAAACTTTGGTCTCGACACACTTACCTTTTCTCTGCCCACTCATCCTTGTAATCCAATGTTCTTGTCTTTTCCCCTCCTCCCTGTGTGTCCAAAGTCCTGGCGCCCCTCCAGCTAGTTGGCCAAAGAGGAAAGCGTGGGCCGCTGGGTTATATGTCCAAAGGGAACGCTATGTACCCAGATGCTTCTAGAGAGGCAGTGTGGGGTCATCAGACGATCCTAGGTCCTCGTGGCACTACTCAGTCCGTTGGCAGAAGGCAGCTCAGGAAGTTCTGTTCTGCATCCTCATGGGTAGCATCTGGGGTCTTGAATGCGTGAGAGCAGTTGTCTAAACTCCAACTGTTGGTCTCCACTTATCCGGAGCAGAGTTAACAAGGAAAACCACACCATCTAGGCCAGCGGTTCTCAAGCTGTGGGTCGAAACCCCTTTGGGGGTTGAACGACCCTTTCACAGGGGTCGCCCAATTCCTAACAGTAGCAAAATTACAGTGATGGAGTAGCAACAGAAATAATGTTACGGTTGGGGGGTCACCACCACATGAGGAACTGTATGAAAGGGTCACAGTAGGAGGAAGGTTGAGAACCACTGCTCTAGGCCACGAATCATGCATAGTCTTGAAGACTCGCTTCTTTCCTGAGCTTACCTTTGTACAGCTCCTTTGTCCTCTTCCCACACTGGCTCAGGGCTCCCGCTCACCCCCTGTACCCGGCACGTCTCTGTCCCACAAGGTCCTGCATCACTGGTCAGGAGGACGGGATTATGGGCTGTAGACAAAGAGGTCTTATTCCTGCAGTGTGGGTGAGCTCCCTGATCCTCTCTTATTCACGTGCTGATGAATACGGCCTTAAGGAACTGTGGGGCTGGGGCAGTCGACCAAGATGGGGCAGTTCTAGGACCTCCAGGAGCCACCTTCTAGTTCCAGCCTACTCCCCGGGCTCCTTATCTTCCTCAATCAGGAAAATTTAAAACCTCAGAAACCAAAGTTACTGCCACTGACTCAATGCGACTTGTAGTGACCCTACAGGATGGGGCAGAACTGTTGCTGGGGATTTCCCAGACTGTCACTCTCTATGGGAGGAGGAAGCCTCTTCTCTCTCCTCTGGAGCAGCGGACTGCTGGTTTCAAACTGCTGCTCTGCAGGTTAGCAGCCCCACACATGACCAATGTGCCGCTAGGCTCCTGTAGAAGTCGAGGGGTGAGGAATAACACGGAATGAGCTTCCAAGTGTCCAGGCCAGCTTTCATACCTGCTATCTAACTTATTCATCACCACAAACCCAGGAGATAAGGACAGATAATTCTCCCATTTGACAGATGAGGAAATTGAGAGAGGTTAATTATATTGCCCAAGGTGGGCAGGGCACAGCAACCAAGAGGAGACAGTTGAGGTTCGAACCCAAGTCTGCAAGTTCCTGTCTTTACTCAGAAAGGGGAGAGAAACCTCCCTTCTTGCCATCTCCCTTCAGCTCAGGGCCTCCCCAGGAGAAAGGCGGTCGAGGGTGGGGGGCTGAAACTGCTCAGGCCTGGGACTGACTGAGGCAGACAGCCACGAGGGCTGAGCCTCCCCTTCGGATGTGTGCAAGGAAGGCAGCCCGCAGAGGTAGCCCCAGGTCACGGTGGGGGCTCCCTTCTCCCCAGCAGAGGAGACCCTGACTGACCACAGGGCTTCTCTCTCCTCGCCTGGGGCCCACGATGCTCTCCACGTCCTCCACGCAGGACTGTGTATGGGAGGGGTCTTGAGACGTCTATGCGGGGACATCTGACCAGAGATAGCTGTGGGCAACCTTTCCTGCCCCCCATCTCCCTCCGCCCCGCACAGAGAAAATGGCTCATAGGGCGAAAGCCAGCATAGGCTTGATGACCCCTTCTCTTCCTTAACGCCAAGATATTTTTCATTTTCTGATTGCTCAATGGCGAGGGGCAGCTAGCCACGCTCGAGAAAGGGGCTTAAAAGCTAGGGGTCTGGACCGCCTCCAGCTGCTGCCTGACACCCACCACGCAAGCCTCAGCCAGCCGGTGCCTCTGCGTCCTCTGAGCGAGCCCCCACCCCCACTAGCAGGGAGCCTTCCCATCCCCTCGGGGGACGACTCCCGCTCCCTTCTTCCCCGGCCCGGGGGGAGCTGTGTTTCCAAGAAGCGGCCGAGGGAGGGGAGGCCAGCCGGCGAGGGCTGTCGGGGGAGGCGGCCCCCCTCGC